ATGCGAATGATCAGGTCGTACCTGTTGATGGACGACACGCTGGGCACGGTGTCGTTGTCGCAAACGCCCTCGGCCAGTAGCCGGTCCCGGATCTCCCAGGCGAACATGGTCGGGTTCTGGCGCTTGTACTCTGCAATCTTATCCACCACTTTCGGAGTCGCCACCTTCGGTTTGGAGCCCCCGATCACCCCCGGTTTAATACTGCCCGTCTCGTAGTACCTGCACACAGTTGCACGTTTAATATCGTCAACGATTCATCCACGTTAGCATTTTTTCCCCCTTTTTTTTTTATTTTTGCGGTTAGTGCATGGATTCAATTGTTTGTTTTTTTTAATCATGGCGCTGAGTGCATGGGAGTGGGTTTAAAAAAAGTGTGCATGCATGACATGCCACCATGACGTATTATTATTATTCTTCCTAAAAAAATAAAATAAAATAAATTTAAAAAAAAAAGCAATGTTTCTGACAAACATTCAGTGTGTGTGCATTGAAATACCTCTGAAATGCCTTCTGATAGCTGGGAAAAAAATATATTTCAAAATATTACCTCTCGTGCTCACGTGTGTTTGGAATGACACATCAAAGTGTTCCCGTTTCGAAAAGCTTCCCCCAAAAAATAGCAGTGTGCAAGCCAAAAATAAAATAAAATAATAACAATAATAAATAATAAAAGCTGCCTTCGCACTATGCTGAGGTTGGAATGGAGCTGCAAGATTGATGATTTTGACACGTCGTGCGTGCGTGCGTGCGTGGGTCCTTTTGTTCCATTTTTTTTTTTTTTTTTTTTTTACCTGCCGAGGATTTTGCTGACGCAGCCGTGACTGACCCGTAGCTGTCTGGAGATGTCACACGGCCGGACCCCTTGGTGTGCCAGCTCCACGATCCTCTGCCGCACCACGTCCGGGAGGGGCCGGCCGTTCACGAACACCCCACCGAGCTGGTTCACGCCGCCGTGCCCTGCGTGGGATACAACAGCGGCACCGGGGAGGGGAGCATAACATTACATACCTGAAGAAGGACTCACCTGCCTTCTTTAGGGCTTTTCAATTCGCGTTCGTCGGGGAAATGCAGATGCGCAGAAAAAGTCTCTTTTTTTTTTTTTTGTTATTGCCTGGTTCGGTCATATTTTCCGAGATCAGCTCGTGCGGTGCAACACATGTGGCGCGTCTTAGGTTTCGACCTGTTTAATTTTCCCTGCACGATTCCGGTAAATAATTAAAATGACCTTTGATCACTCATATTACAAACGCCGATAAATAATTGACGTGCAGGCCGGGGGCTCCTCTCAAGATGTATTTTGTTAATGCTTCAATTCTTGTTATTTTATTTCAGCACTGTAATGAGAAATTGTTTGGCATCATTTACACACACTGATCTCCGTAATGTGATGTCACACGTAATAAAAAAAGCTTTGTATTCAAATTGAGCACTTGAAAAAAATATGAAACAAAAGAGCCTTAAAAAAAAGTGGAATTTGTATTTTGGTGCTCTTGGAAGAATTTGTAAGATGTGAGTGATCCAACGTTGAATATTTTTTAAGGATGATTCTAATCATACTCAAAGGCTATTTTTAAAGGCAGAATTATGAGGCCAAAATGAAAAGTGACATCATCGCCGTTGAATTTCTGCTCAACATAATTCGATTTTTCGAACGAATTCTGCCATATTTTCATTGCTCTTTCAAGAAATTAATTGGACTGATTTTCTTTCCCTGCGCATCAAAAAAAAAGTCGAATCTCGACTTTTATCAATTCGTGTACAATATACGAAATAATCAACTTAGGTGAAAGCCAGCATTGTAAAATCAAATCAAATAAAATCAAATAGAATCTCACACAAACTCGTACAAAAAAAGATCCGGAGCTATTTCACCCTATAACGTGTTTTTGCAGCCAAACTCGAAGCAGCTTTTCATTTCAAAACTATCGCAGATTATTCTTTTTTTTTTGGTCTTCTTTTATTTGCGATATTTTCAAAAAGACTCACGGTGCATGGCGGAGAAGGGGTCTGCCTTGCAGTGAATATCCATGGGATAGCAGAGCAAAGAAAGGTAATCGACTGAGGTCGCCGTCTCGCCTCGATGGTGCAGCAGCCGTCAAAGAGGAGAAAATGTTCAAAAAACAAAAAAACAAGCCAACCAGTCCGTGTGGCCGATAGAGTCCGCGCGAGCTGCCGTAAGAGCGCAGCAACTTCTCAGCTCTTCAAAGAAAGAAAGAAAGAAATAATTCGTCCGTGTAAAAGAAAAGAAAAAAGAAAACAAAATAAAATAAAAACACAAAACGAGTACGTGGTTGGTGGTGGTGGTGGTGGTGGTGGTGGTGGGGCTGTCAGGTGCAGAGCATGACCCACGCGTGCGGCTGCGGCAGCGGAAAAGCGGACTTTCCTTCCACGCGGGTCCCGACCGAGCAGCCGACAAATCCTCCTCCGGCGGCGGCGAGCAGGAGCGACGGCGTGGGGTCCCCCCGGTGGCTGGGTCGGAGGAAAGAACACGGCCCCCCTC